CCCTGAGCCCTAAACCCTAATCCCCAAACCCTAAACCCTAAACCCCCAAATCCTAATCCCTAAACCCCGAGCCTGATCCCCACTCCCCGAAGCCTGACCTGATTCATCCCCAGTCCCAAACCCCACACCCGACCGAAAACCAACAATGGCTTTAATCCTAATGGTTTAGGGTTTAGGGTTAGGGGTTTAGGATTTAAGGTTTAGGGGTTTAGGGTTTAGGGTTTAATGTAGGGGCCGAAATATTACCTAGACCATTCTGTGGGCTCCTTACTATAATTATAGTATAACCGGCCCCAAAACCCTTTTCTACTTGACTTGTTAAGGCCCCTATATTATACGGTTTAGGGTTTAGGGTTTAGGGTTTAGGGTTTAGGGTTTACGGTTTAGGGTATACAGTATCCCCACGCCCCCAACCCCAACCCCAACCCAATTCCTCAGCCCTAAAACCCTGCACTCATTCCCCCGACCCTGAACCCAATCCATGCACCTCCCCATGTGAACCCTAAGCCAAACCCAATTCCCAAACCTTCTTGGGAGCCCTCAAGCTGAACCCTAATCTCCGAACAAAGCCTGAAATCGACGGGTTTTGGGGTTTAGGGCTCTAGGGCTTTAGGGGTTTAGGGGTTAGGGGTTTAGGGGTTTAGGGGTTCTAGGCTACACCCTAAACCCTACTGCTCAAACATTGGCCTAGAACCCTTCGAAGCCCGTTGTCACCGAAATGAAACTCTGCTACAACCCTGAAACTGCCGTCAGGGGCCCCTACTATAGAACCCTCTTAGTATCCCTTCAGAGGGGACCCGATTATAGGTTCAGGGTTTAGGGTTTAGGGTTTAGGGTTCAGGGTTCAGGGTTTAGGGTTTAGGGTTTAGGGACCCGATTATAAGGAACTTAAAGAAGCCCCTTGTACCCTTGAAAAAGAGCTTCATCCTAAACCCTAAACCCTAAACCCTGTCAGCCCCTGGGGTGCCGACGGCACAAGCACCACGGCCCAAGAGCTGCGTCTTCTCGTAGCCTCGGGTGATTCGTGGGCTTCTCCATTTTGGGGGGTTTAGGGTTTAGGGTTTAGGCCTTCTAAAGATTAACCTGGCTTCGGGAGCTGGTTTCAGAAGGGCATTATAGGATTCGGCAGGCTTCGCAGAAGGCTTTCAAGAAGGGCGTTCGATGATAGAGGATCTTATAATAGATTTGCCAGGGACGGCCCGCCTGGCAGGAAGCGATCGGAGTACTCTGCGCAGTCGTCCTCAACAGGTGGAGGCCTGTGAACAGGGAAACCCGAAACCCTGAAAACGAAGTAAACCCTAAATAGGGTTTAAAATTTAGGTTTAGATTTTTCTGGGTTTAGGGATGCGAAAAGCCCCTAATCCTTTCCTTGAAACACACAGCAGCCTAAGCCCCGAAACCTCGAGGCATTCCCCGACCCGCACCTTCTGCCGCCTCGCCCCCTTCGTAGGCCACAGATGATCACTAACAGAATGCGACACGATGACCCAACATGAAGAGAACAGCAGCATCTTGCTCTACCGAGACCTGGCAACCCTCAAACCTCCTGCATCTTAGATCTTAAAAGTCCCGTGCATCTCGAAATCCCTGCCGAAATCGTGGAAACCCGAGGGAGCTGTGGACTTGACAACTGCTCCGGGGTTCATCATGGAACCATCATTTCAGCGTTCAGGGTTTACCTTAAAGGGTTTAGGATTTAGGGTTTAGGGCTTAGGGTTTAGGCTTTAGGGTTTAGGTTTTAGGGTTTAGGGTTCGGGGTTCACGATCGAGCCGAGGGCCGAGGTTTCTAGGGTTCGGGGTTTTGCTTTTTGTTTTTGTCAGGGGGGCGGCTTCATGGTTCAGGGGTTTAGGGTTTAGGGTTTAGGGTTTAGGGTTTAGGGTTTAGGGTTTAGGGTTTAGGGTTTAGGGTTTAGGGTTTAGGGTTTAGGCTGATAATGTAGGCGGGTGAATAGTTAGAAAAGGGTTGTGGGGGCTCCTCATTACAATTATAGTATAATATACCCCAAAAAACCTACTCTAATATAGGGGCCTTAATAATCTGAATAGGGTTCTGGGCCCATTGTACTATAATTATCATATGGAACACCCAAAATAGTATTGGTAATTATTTAGGCCTCTACATTTATTATTAAGGCCCCTAAACCCTAAACCTTATAGTAGCCCCTATAGAACCCTTTAAGGAACCCTTTAAAGGGGCCCAAAAACCCTACTCTAAGACTACTAAGGCCCCTATAACTCGCTGACGTAAGGAGACGACGCAGACCCTAAACCCTAACCTTTTAAACCCTAAACCCTCAACCCTAAACCCTAAACAATAAACCCTAAAACTTGCAACAGCACTGCCAGGGCCTCCCGGTTGCAAGCCTTCCCCGGCAACCCTCAAACCCCCAAGCTCTGGGCTTGGGGGTTTAGGGTTTAGGGGTTTAGGGGTTTAGGGTTTAGGGGTTTAGGGGTTTAGGGTTTAGGGTTTAGGGTTTAGGGGTTTAGGGTTTAGGGTTTAGGGTTTCAAAATCAAACTCTGACCGTGAAAAACCCTTCTGTGGATCGAACCCTCCTTAATCTAAAGGGAGAAGCAGAGGGAGCTCTCATCGCAAAGCCTCTTCTACGGATGGTAAACTCCAATGCCACTAACCTCAAAATCCCAAAGCTCCAAAGCCTGCAATCTCAAAACCCCAAAGCGGTGTGGGCTGAAAGTACCCTTTAAGGAATTCTAACCCAAAGCCCGAAAGCCTCTGCGCAGCTTGCCCTCGTCGCGCTATGGCGACTCGGTCAGAGTTGCTGCCTGACCCATGAGGGCTTGAGGGTTAAGGGTTTAGGGCTTCAGGCTTGAATGGGCTTGAGTCATTGAGTAGCAGATTGGAATCAGGAGAGCCCGGCTGGCAAAAGGGATACAAACTATGACGAAGATGATAACAGTCGGGTTGGTGGTAACGTTGAAGAAATTCGCGAAAAATGGCATGATAGTACGTAGCAATCCTTGCTGTCGCCGTCGTAATCCGAGCCCCAAACCCCCTAAACCCTAAACCCTAAACCCTAAACCCTTGTCACCAGGCTCCGGACCATTAAAGGTGATGCCACGCGCCACATCGATGGAGCGAGTCCGGACCTCACGTCTGGGTTTAGGGTTTAGGGTTTAGGGTTTAGGGTTTAGGGTTTAGGGTTCAGGGTTCAGGGTTTAGGGTTTAGGGTTTAGGGTTTAGGGTTTAGGGTTTAGGGTTTAGGGACTTCGAGAGCCCTCGGATTTCAGGGTTCCTTGCAAGGGGTCCTTGCAGGATGGTGGTGTAATCCTTATCAAAACTTATCAGAACCCTGTTCTAATCAATCTTTAAACGAATCCTAAACCCTAAACCCTAAACTGTGCCTGTAGATTATTACCCCAATCTGATGTAGCCTTGACTCCCACACCCTGATCACACCGAACTCCAGCTCGGGTTCTTAGAGTTTTGGATGTTAGGGTTTAGGGTCGCAGTGGCTCAGCTACTGTGCCTCTCTAAGCCCTCAACGCCCAGCGCTACACCCTAAAGGGTCCATCAAGGTAAAGTACTGCAAAGTCCAGGAATCGAAACCCCGATAGCTGAACCTAGAACTCTGAAAGTCCCCAACCTCATAAACCCTAAACCCCATGCCCCATACCCAAACCCCCCAAAACCCTAAACCGTGAAACCCCTTTGCCTGAAAAACCGTGGAAACTCTCATACAATCCCATACAAGCCCCTATAAAACCCGGAGAGACTCCCCTTTTTAAAAGCCTATCAGATGCTATTCACCTGATCAACTTCCGGTGAACCCTAAACCCTAAACCCTAAACCCTAAACCCCAAATGCCAAACCTCCCTCTGCCTTCGGCGCGTCGTAGGTCCGCTCCGCACCCCGGCTGCTTGCAGAGGGCGCCCGTGTGGGGGTCCTTCTTATCTGTGGAGAGTAGGGTTTAGGGTTTAGGGTTTAGGGTAGAGGGTTAAGGTCTGTAGGGATCCCCAAAGACTAAAGACTCTACAAGGGCTCCAGAAGGGCTCAGTAAGGGTTCTGCGAGAGAAGAAAGGTCTATAAGGGTCGGTCGACGAGGGTCCTTCTTATATTCAGGGTTTCAGGGTTTAGGGTTTAGGGCGAAAAGCTATGGTTGGGGTCCTTCTTGTCTTCAGGGTTTAGTCGCAGACACTTTGGAGTAGGGGGTTAAGGCTCTAAAGATTAGGGTTTAGGTTTCCGGTCCTTTGTGTTTTTTCGGGTTTGGGATTTCTGCCTTCAACACTTCTTGTTCCTCGCGGTTTTGTTAGAAATTTCGATTTCGAAGGTCTGAAGGCATTGAGGTTTAGGGTTTAGGGTTTAGGGTTTAGGGTTTAGGGCTTAGGGCTAAGGGCGTAGGGTTTAGGGTTTAGGGCTTAAGGTTTATGGTTTAGGGTTTAGGGTTTAGGGCGTGGGCATTGGGGAGGGTGTGGATGTTGAGTCTTTCAAAATCACTAAGTAGGGTCTTGCCTGAATGATACTACCTCACGGCATGGCAATCAAACTCTAAATGGGAGTTTCAGAAAATTAGGGGGTACCTTATTTTGGGGTCCTTAAAATAGGGATCCTATTATTTAGGGTACCATATTAGGGTCCCCTATTTTCGGAAACCCCCAAATAGTAGTGTCAGCACTTGTTGTGATGTTGTCGTAGAAGCAGAAGAAGTCGTCTTCGTCGACGGAGTAGGACGAGGAGTAGCATCAGCAGCATCAGCAAGCAGTCGTCGTAGTAGTAGTAGTAGTAGTAGTAGTAGTAGTAGCAGCAGCAGTAGCAGCCGTNNCCGTGGGAAATGGAGTTGTAAGAGTTGTAAGAGTAGTGAGTCTGGTAGGAGGAGGAGAAATGGGCGTCCACATTCCAATGGGCATCGGCCGCCATCTTTGCTACAATAGTTCTTGTGTGCCCAGCATATGCTATTATCTTGTTGATGCCGTCGCCTGTCATCACAGAAAGCACAAGGAGACTCGTCACGGCGGGATTCAAGGAAAATGGAGGTTCCCGTTATGTTACGGACACAGAACAGGAACCCCCAGTTGGTCAGAAACGCCGACACTCACAGATATCACCCTTATAATCCCCATCTAGTCTTGCTGCATGTTACGATACACAACCAACCCCCCCCCCCCCCCCCCGATACTACGTGTTATCAAAGAACCCATAACGCCCTATTCAACCCTCATAAAAGTAGCATTGACAACCCCAGCAATCCCTTGTGTTATTCTTAAGACCGCCATACTAGAGCCGCTTTTGCAACCCTATTACATGATCCTATATTTCGCGCTCCTTGATGGGCCAGCCACAGACCTGTCACCATTTCGCGACTGGGGTTCAGGCTTGAGGCTATGGTTAGTTCAGGGGTTCCTGCAAAGCCTCCATGAGGGTTCCACAAGAGGTTCAGGATCTAAGGCTATATGGCCTCCATAAGGGCCTCTAAACTTTTAAGGGTGCTTCGGGCTCAGAGCTTGGGATGTTGGCTCCAGATTCAGGGTCGAGGAAGGGTCTACGGTTTCGGGTTCACGGAGCTTGGGGATCAGCGTTCATGGTTCAGGGTTCGGACTGTAGGCGTTAGGTTCAGGTTTCAGGATCTAGGGTTTCGGGCAGTAGGCTCGCACGCGCACAGGATCTGCTGTCTATATCTGCCCGAGAACGGGACCTGCCAAGGGCGAATTGCATCTCTCCTCCTACCCCGACTTGTCATTGCGCGGTTTGGGGCTCAGGGTTTTGCAACAAACGGACAGGAGCTGCACCACAACTAAAAGTAAGTTTGACGCTCGTGCGGCTGGCACGTGCATCAAAAGTGTGTGCACATGGTCTGTCAATGGAGGACCTCCGCAGCCTAGCGTCCTCACATACAGTTCTCGTTAGATACAAAACACGATACGCAGCGAAACTCCAGAAAAAGGGCTCCAAACCCCAAACCCCAAGCAAGGACACACAGGCCTGTGCTCCTGGAGTGGCGTGTGCCCGCCATCGTCCTCAGAGCAAGTGGCAGCTGCAGTGCTACAAGATGACATGTTGTCACCACTGCTGCTACTGCTTGCTGGCAGTAATAGCAGCAGCGGCATGGGCGGCAGCGGTGGTAGCAGTAGTGGCAGTGGCAGAAGCAGCAGCAGTCGTCGTCGTAGTAGGAGGAGCAACAGCAGGAATCGGAATTGGACTAAGAGCTAAAGGAGTAAGACGGAGTATGAGCAGGAGGAGGAGGAAGAGGAGGAGGAAGAGGAGGAGGAGGAGGAGGAGGGGCACGAGCAGGAATGTCTTAGTCCTGTACTGCTGCCTAGCGTCTGCTTCCATCGATCTCGCTACATCTCCACTTGTCTAGCCGCCCTAAACCCCTAAACCCTAAACCCCTACACCCTAAACCCTAGAGCCTAAACCCCTAAACCCTAAACCCTAAACCCTAGACCCTAAACCCTAGACCCTCAACTCTAAACCCTAGACCCTCAACTCCTACACCCTAAACCCTAGACCCTCAACTCATGAAGCCTCTACGCCTCTACCAGCTTCGGCCTCTTCGCGCCGGCGTCGGTCGGGCCGACCCACACCGCTCGGAACCTGGGGTCGGCGCTCGGCTTCGGAGCTTAGGGACCAGGGCTTAGGGTTTAGGGGTTTAGGATTTAGGGGTTTAGGGTTTAGGGGTTTAGGGGTTTAGCGGTTTAGGGTTTAGGGTTTAGGGCTTAGGGTTTTTGGTCTAGGGTTTGGGGTAAGTTTATGGGTTTTTGGTTTAGGGTTGGGGGTAAGTTAAGGGGTTTTTGGTTTAGGGTTTGGGGTCAGTTAAGGAGTTTTTGGTTTAGGGTTCAGGTTGTAGAGTCCACCGTTTAGGGCTTTGGGCTTGTGAGGGGTTTCGAAGGGGCTTCTGAAGATCTCTGATGCCCCTAAGCCCTGAAGCCCAAACCCTAACGCCTAATAAGGTCGTGTGATGCCCTAAACCCTAAACCCTAAACCCTAAAGCCTAATGATGTCTTATGGAGGTTTTCAGAGTTCAGGCCTCAGGCTTGAAGCTTTTTCGGTTTAGGACTCGGGCCGAATGGGGGTTATATTTGGGGGTTGTTGTGCCAAGCGATATACTATCAGAAATCGGGGTTGCTGGAAGCCCGCCACCTGGAATTGGGATGTTCTTCTTATGCTATGGCGTTAAGACAGCTTAGTCTTAGGGTCTTCTAAGGATGAGTATTCGGGTTATAAAGGATTCTAAAATTGAGGGTTGTACAAGGGCTAGTATTATTGAAAATCCTCCAATGACCCCTCATCACGTTGTCTGCATGCCTGCTTGCCTTCGATATTTGGCATCTATTCCTGCTGGGAGGTCGCGATCGGAAAGCTGGAATGGAACAAAATTGCCCGAAACCCGTCGTGATCGTAACTTGCTTCACTCCATACATGCCGATCAAAGGACGTTGAAGTTGTATCATCTTTACTATACTGAACTTAGACCCCTAGCAAAAATTATAATTTTAGCTTCTTCTTAGGGTTTATAGTAGCCAAAGATTAAGAATTATTTCTAAGTATCCCTAAGTTTAATCCCGAACCGTAAGGATTCCGTTCGATTGTGCCTGGAGCGACCGGGGGGCGAAGGACGCTGCCGCGGCCTCAGCCACACCTGCAGCCAGCCGGGAGCTGCTGAAATTGGTTTCATGCTCAGGGCTTGGGCCGGGGTTTAGGGTTTAGGGTTTAGGGTTTAGGCTTTCGCATTCCTTTGACAAACTTTCGGACAACCCTAAAGCCCTACCCGTTGAATTCTAAAGCCAAGACGCAGGCATGTTGTAAGAAGAGCCTTACACCTCAAAGGACCTTCATGAAAGAAGACTCGCGGTGTTTTCTTGGGCATTTGAGAGGCCTTACAGAAATACAGAACCCTTACGAAGACCCTGCTAAACCCTAAACCCTCAACCCTAAATCCCTAAACAAGACCCTAAACCAAAAGCCCGAACACGAAACACACTAAACCCTAAACCCTAAA